TTTATTTCTGAGAGAGAGAGAGAGAGAGACAGCGTGAGCAGGGGAGAGTCAGAGAGAGAGGGAGACACAGAATCTGAAACAGGCTCCAGGCTCTAAACCAGCCACCAGCACAGAGCCGGATGCGGGGCTGGAACCCATGAACCAGGAGACCATGACCCAAGCGGAAGTCGGACGCTCAACCGGCTGGGCCACCCAGGCGCCCCTGTAATTTATTTTAAAATATACTAGTAATTTTGAAAAAATATCAAGGAAGTGATGTGTATAAGTGTACATGGAAAGAGGGAGAGAGAGAGCATTCCAAGAAGTCTCTGTGCTGTCAGTGCAGAACCTGATGTGGGATGTAAACCCACAAACCTTGTGACCATGACCTGAACCAAAATCAAGAGTCAAACACTTAACCAACTGAGCCTCTCAGGCTTTTCTAGCTTATACTTTGAAATACTTTGACAATGAATCTTGTCATTCTAGATTTAACAGACATTCTAAAATACTAATGGGATATGTTTGAATATTAAAATTAAATTATCCAATTTTTGCTTCCATTTTTGCATATGCCCAAATTCACACACACACACACACACACACACACACATACACACACACACACACACACAGTTGTCTAATTGCTGCAATATCTAAAACTTCATGGCATATGGCCCAGTTGCACCACAAACAGACAAAATGGAATCATATATTTCTGTCAACAATCAAAACTTTAAATTATGCAAAATTAACATGTTATGTGTTAATATAATACCTTTAATCTAATCTGTATATTTACCTTTCCTCAATTTATTATAATTATTTCCCTAGAGAACAATTAACTTATCCAAAGGATGTTTATTGATCTAAACAAAGTCATGGATTCTATTTTATTCATAGGCTCAAATGTTGAATTCTTGCTACTCTTTGCTAATAGTTCTAACCATAGTGCAGAATATATATGAATGAAGAGAAAAACTGGTTTGAAAGTAGATGGGTAAGCTGAGGCACAGTATGGTAATTCAATGATTATTCATTTCTAATAGCTGTATATTTTCATGTATGTTGAGACCCTATCTCACTTATCAGGAGACTTTTCACTTGGAATTTGTAATACTGAACAAATATGGAGATCCAGGTATAAAAATCATTGTAATTTTTTATGGAAGTGCAAAAATAATTTATACACATGAATAACAGACTTTTTTTTTTTCAATTCAAGTAACAGTCTATTCTTTTGACACTAAGGCAACTTTGATTCTTTTAAAAGTGGTGAAATGTGTCTTCATTACATTTGTCAAACATTAAAACAGAATTATGTTTGGTATTTTAGTATCAGTTTCACCCAAATTATACTATTTGCAAAATTTAATTATGTATTAAAACATGAATTTCAAAACATTGAGAATTTTATCATTACTAAGCTCTAGTATAAAAGAACAACAATTAAAACCTTTCTAAGCCACTAAGTGTAGCTTTAAGTTACTGTAAACTAGCTGTGCTACACCCAGTAAATACCACAGAGACAGGTACATTTTGCTGATGAATATTACTGAAAAGCTAAGCACTTTTCCAATTACCAATAAGACTATATAACTTGTTAAATGAAAACAGACAAACAAACAAAAATATACTTGTATGCTATGGTTAAGACTTAATTTCCTGGGAAATGGGAAAAGTTACCATGACTTACGACTGCAGATAAGAACCTCTATAGCATGACTTTCAGAATACATTGCTATGTATGAAGTTTCCCAGGAGAGGTAAATATTAGAGTGTTTTGGGAGGGATAGTGAAAATAGGCTTTTGACAAGGTGCTGCTTTCATTCTCTTTTTCCTTTCATACAGGAACAGAGAAATGGTAGATATATGAACAAGTGAATTTAGAAGTAGCCCCTGATTACCTTTAAAGGCTGTAATTTTGGGTTGTCCATTTTCATCTTGTATTGATTTCCAAGATAGCAGTACTTGTTCTTAATATGTCTCTCACTCAAAAAAAATATAATATGATAAATTGTCAGATATGATTAAACATTTTGTTTCATCCCATAAAATCTTCACTACTGAATGTAAAACACAGTCAAATTAACTTATTTCTCAAAAGAAAACCCTGTGAATAATTCTTGACTGGGAAACTGAAAGGCAATAAGGTTCTAAATTGCATTTTTAAAAAAATGCTTCAACTGTACATAGATGTAATTAAATGGAAGGTGGTTTGACATATATGCTGACACTTCTCTGGGAATATATTCAATTGCTCAATAGTTTCACTTAATTTGCCTTTTATTTAGCTCCTTATTCTCTGGCCCAAATCTGTTTCTCCCGCATGCCTTTCCTATTTATATCAATGATGTCATATTTGCAATCAGTCATGTTTGTCTCTTTTTATGATCCATATTTATTCAGTTGGCATTTCATGTCTCATTCCTTAACATGTCTCGTTTCAAAATACATACTTTCAGTTTAATTATATTATAGTAAAAACTATAAACTCACCTTGTTGCAGTAACATCCCAACTGATACCTCCTCCTCTAATTTCTCTTTTCTTCAATCAAGTCTTCATTCCATTAAAAAATAATAAATTCTAGGGGCACTTGAGTGGTTCATTCATTTAAGCATCTGACTCTAGGTGTCAGCTCACGTCATGATCTCACATGGTTTATGAGTTTGAGCCTTACTTACATAAGGCTCTACACTGATGTGTGGACTCTGCTTGAGATTCTCTTTCTCTGTCTCTGTCTCTCTCAAAATAAATAATACACTTAAAATTAAAAATAATAATAAATTCTAAAAGCACTGTTTCCACTGTCATTTCTCTTTTCAAAATTATTGAATCTCTATTGTCTGGATTAAGTCCAAACTCTTTACATCCGTTTCATTCTTCATATCCCTCTCTCCCAAATCTGATCACAATCTACTTTTCTTGCCTTGTCAATATCACCTTCTTTACATAAAACATATACTTCTTCTAGTCAATTTCAGTCAAGGACTTGCCATATCCTATTCCCATTCTTGGTTTCACACCTTTTCTCCTTCCAGTGTCTTTCACTGCTATCACTTCACTTTTTACTCTGTTTATTACAAATATATCATTTGATAGTTTTGTTTTTGTTGTTGTTGTTTAGCGCAGTTATCTCATAATTTTATCCTGGTTTTTCTAAACTTTCAGTGTTTACACATACCCACCCTATTACTGAGATTACTATTAAAATACAACTTCCATTTTCTATAAAAAGACAAACTCAATTACCTTTCTTTGATTGCTCTCACTTTACTTGCCCTCTACCTAATCCCATCAATTTTCAAAATAATGCAGAACACCAGACTATGTTTGAAGCACGCGGAGGAAAAACAAAACAAAAACCTGGTAAGCATGCTAAAACATTGACTGAACTCTCAAGCGTTAAAATTTAAGAGGTTTATTCTCCTTTTATCAAGCAATGTCTACAGACAGAGCATCCACATGGTGTAAGCTACTGAAGAAGGATGTATGAGACAGACTTACATTAAATCATTAGACACTTTATATGGTTCATGTTCACAAGGGAGAAAATCGCTAAAAAGGAAAGCAGGTAAGTAGAAACATAAGCTGATTTTTGCTGTTTATCAAATCTACCTCCCAGAATGTTTCCTTAAGCTAAGAAGAAATCTACCGTATCACACAGCTCAGGATGCTATATATACATAAGATATTACACACTATAAAATTTCAGGTTCCTAAGCAGTTTTATACAATTTAAACTTGAGTAAAATTTGTATTTAAAAAAGACCTTATTGGATTACCTTCAGTAAACGGAGGTCATTTCAACAGCCCATTAGCATTTTTAGCAACAATTAAAAAAAATAAGTAAAAAGAGTCTCCAAACATGTAACCTATTACTTTAAGCCTAGATAATTATCTGCTTATTTCAATAAACCAACTCTCTAGTTTTAATCCACTTCTACTGGCCTTATATTTGCCCTTTAAAAAAAGGAAGCAATAATTTTTATTTCTATATAGTTTCTCAAATAAGGGGATTAGTTAGGTTTCAAACCATAGCACACAGTTAATGAGAGGGTCATTTAAGAGTTATGTAGGAGTTGAGCAGAAGTCATTTAGGAAAGTTCTTAAGGAATGAACTTCTTTGATGAGTTATATTTAAATTGCCCAGGCTATAGTGAAGTGTATCTTTACTCACCCCTGTGGAGCTGTTCCTTTGTTGCCATTTTCTGCTACTAATTCTCCTAAACAACTAATATTCCTCAGTTCTCTAGCCAGTATTTTCTCCCTGGTGTTAATTTCATTATATGAGGTTTACTCTAAGCAGACACAAATGGTACTTCTTTAAAAAAAAAAAACAAAAAAAAAAAACCTGAAAGTTCCTGCTGATTCAACACTGGACTACATGAAAAGAAAGGAATCAATTCTGCTAATAATAAGTAAGCAGTTGACATGCCAGACAAACTTGCATTAAAAATACAATGCACTCCAATGATCAAAAGCAAAATGAGTAGAGAATACATTGCAAACATTTTTCCATAATTATTTTTCCTCCTTTCCTCCTCATTTTCCATAGCATGCTGCAGATCATATTGTAAGTATTAAATAGAGTTGGTCACTGGTGTTCAACCTATGGCCAACTTATACCTTCAAATGATATTTCATTGAGGTTTAAACCAATGCTGAAGACAGGATTTAGTGTAAAAGATGTTAAACTTTTCTCTTTTAATGACAAAAAATTTATAGTTATGAGGGTGTTCAGTATGCAGCTTTCAGCCTACCTGTTCTTCTTGTGACATTCCATTCAAGGCACAAAAGATTATAAACAGTGGATGGGACAGAATATTTTGAAGTAGGAATTTTAAGGTTCCACAATACCTTCCTAGTTTAAGCATACCAAAAGACAGAGAAAAAAGACTAGATAAACCACCCCCAAAATGAAATGCTTAAAGTCATCTGAAATTCCCTGCAGTTATTTTTTAATTATTTAAATTTCCATTTTGTTGGCTTTAATGTAATTATAGATTTGATGCTTGTGATTCATGTGATTTCTTATTAAATATTGTGTTAAATATTTCAGGTCAACAAATATTACTAATTGTGTTCATCTTTGCAAAAAAAATCTGTTTTATTTGGGTCAACCAAGTAACTTATGTTTGACTAGAGTGTAATCTTGAAAGGTTAAGCTATAAATTTAAACAATGGATTAAGTGCAATGTACTGGAAAACTCTTCATTCAATAATTATCTAATAGGGCTCCTAGGCATCTCCAACCCAAATGACTGTATTTCCTTTCTCAACTTCAGTGATCTCACAGTTTAACTTATTGAGTCGTCCGTCTAGGATAAAGAGAGAGTCCTTGGAAGGTGTCATCAGGTATTGACCAAACAAGCCACTGTCCTGGATTTGCCTGTTCTTCTGGTTCCAAGGCCATTCTTCTGCCTTGAGTGGTTCCTTAAGACTTTTGATCATCTTAACCTTCCCAGAGGAGAGCTCCACAAAGAGCACATCAGTTTGTGTGCTTGAACTACCATAGATGTTGTATTGGTGGGCTTCAGTAAAGGATGGCTGAAATGCCAGATCAGATATGTGCAGATTTGTGTGAATATCAAAAGCCTCCTGTATCTCTCCTCGGATGGTAATGTACTGGACCCTTACAAGACCTCTCACATCATTAATGCTGACAAGATAGTGCCCATCTGGAGAGACATACGGAGTGCCTGTCACATCGCTATTGAATCCAATGACTGAGTCGGTTACACCATCCACCATAAGCTGTGGGGGAATTGCCCCAGTGCTGTCAGGTCTGCAGCCAACAAAGTAGTAACCTCCCAAGTGCGTATATGCCAATGATTGAGGAATGCACTTATAGTCCACCAAGTTAATTGTCTTGATGTATGACATGGTTTCAAGATCAATTTTTTGTAGTGCAGCTTCATCTTTGTGAAGAATAAATCCAAACCTGAAAAGATGAAAACCAAAGTTAGACATGAAACTCTGTAGTTTGTGGGCAGGTGGGAAGGGCCATCACAAGTCCACACATTAATTGTCAGGCTATGCAGTAATTTGTGTCATTATCATTTTAGAATTAAGCTTTTAAATTTCCCCACCCTCTTCCTTTTTCTAGGTTATTCCTTCATTACAGCCAAACAATTGTAAACCATGGTGTAGAAAACAAAATAATTGAAAGCAATATATCTAGTTAATTGGAACAACAAATTTTACTTTTACCATACCGGGGAAAAAAATAAACATCATGTGTGTCTTTAATCCTGATATTGAACAAGCTTGGTTTACTGCTACTGAAGTCTGCAGAATAAAATACTTGAATATATAGCTATTTCACATACTTCATTTCCTTCTTGTCTCATGACCATCAGAAAAAATGTGACATTCGTCTCTACTTAGACAACTATCCACTACTTTCTCATTTTATAGGTAGTCTTAAACTTCTATTTATAAGATTTTAAGATTACTTTGATTGGAGCACGTGAGTGACTCAGTTAAGGGTCCGACTTCAGCTCAGGTCATGATCTCACGGTTCATAGGTTCGAGCCCCACATTGGGCTCTGTGCTGACAGCTCAGAGCCTGGAGCCTGTCTTCAGATTCTGTATCTCCCTCCCTCTCTGACCCTCTCCTGCTCACACTGTCTCTCCCTCTCTCTCAAAAAATAAATAAAATATTTAAAAATTTTAAAAAGATTACTTTGATTTACTACTTTTATGATTTTAACACTTATTTTAAGTTTTAAATACAAGTTACAGTTTTCAACCATGCTTACATTGTTATTGTTTTCAGTGGTATACCTGAGTTATCTTATACTGAATAATGATGAAACTTAAAGATTTATGATATTTTCTATCAAAGTTCATTTAAAAGTAAATATTTCTTATTTGTTTTGCTTCCCTCTTTAATTACTATAGTAATTTTCAAAGCATTTGTCTGGAATACTAACTAGAAATTCTTTAAGTCTGAGTGACAAATCTAAATATATTTTGAAACTGAGGCCCATAAGACCAGTGGGTTCTTATAAAAAAAAGAAGTTAAATAAGGTAATATTAAATGGGGACTGCTATACAAAGTTATATCCAAAATGGATACTGGCCAATAAAATTTTGAAGAACTATACTTTTTGTCATTAATGTTGATTAAAACACATCCTAGTATTTTCAAAAGCTCCATAAATATAAAAACCAGGCATCTATTGTTACATTGAATGTTCTCATAAATGAAAAAATAAAAATAAGATCATTTGTGACAATGTAAAACAAACAAAAAACTCTAATGATAACCACTTACCACTTATGTCACCTGTGAACATCATTTCAATATGCTAATTCTTAGTCAAAATTTATTTATGTAAAAATGACCATTTCCATACATAGATATTTTGCATTTGGGGTAATACTTCCTTGAAATTTCAAATATAAGCACATGCAAGCTCAAAAATATAGATAAACTCATCTTTTTTTAAAATATTTTTATTTATTTCTAGGAGAGAGAGAGAGAGAGACAGCGTGAGCAGTGGAGGGTCAGAGAGAGAAGGAGACACAGACTCTGAAACAGGCTCCAGGCTCTGTGCTGACAGTCAGCACATAGCCCGACGCGGGGCTCGAACCCACGAACCGCGGGATCATGACCTAAGCAAAAGTCGGACGCTTAACCGACTAAGCCACCCAGGCGCCCCTAAATAAACTCATCTTTGATATCTTAGAGAAAATAAGATGTATGCTCTCAAAAATCAGTTCTATCTTGTAACTGTAGAAAACAGCAAGTGCATAAGCACAAATACTTGACTGAAATGGATATAAAGCTATAACTGCTTCTATGTTCTCATATAAAGTTGGGAAACTATATCTAATTCTAGCTATATTTAAACATTTGTGAAGAGACTATCTTTAGAGAGATTACAACTCCATCTGTATAAAAAAAAAAAAAACGACAATGTATACCTGGTCCTTTAAAAAAAAGTTTTAAATATTTATTGAACATCTACTAAATATAAGGTGCTAGGAATATATTGTAGATCAGCATATCTGTCCCAGCTTTTAATGAGTCTAGGAATCTGAGTAATAAAAATTGACAACTTAGTGATTCATGTTTAATTATAGCATTCTGCTACACTATGACTTAATTTAGTAATTACCACCTTTTCTATTTACATGAGATGGAATAAAAGAATCATTTTGAAAATAAATTTCTGGTATATTTCAGAATGACATTCACCATTTCTGGCTTATTTCCTGGATCTGCTTTTTCGCTGTGTCCTTAATAAATGTGTTTGTGTCATTTCAGTAAACACAGCTCATACCATACCTGTTTAGGATAAAGTTTTAGTTTTAATTATAATGATATGAAGAAGCATTCATATTATTAAAAACCACTTCTTAGTGTTTCCATTAAAATATTAATAACCTAGTAAGGCTCTTAAATACTATCTGAATATTAAAGCATACAAAAAAAAAAAAAAACCAAAAACCCTTAACTGAAAGCGGAGTCCCATTGTTTTGTGTCAACATCAAAAACACCATAAAATCTGATATAACAGTCTCTACTCTCCTACTTGGCTTAATAAATAATTAACTTTGATTGTTGTAAAGGGATATTTTTCCATTAACAGATAATCATTAAGGATATGCAAGTGTGTATATGATTGTATGTGCTATTATTTATGAAATTTTGAATAATAATGGAATATATTGTCTTTTTTAATGTTATGTGCTGTACATGTGCACAGAGAAAAAAGCAGTGACACGTACATTTAATAAAAGCAAGAAGCCAATCAAGTTTTGGCATTTCAGCTCCTCTCTTAACCTTGAGTCTTCCAGTCCTTTTGGGCCATCGTTTTTGAATGCTAATGAAGAAGAATGAGACAAGCTCTAACTACTCATGAACTATTTTAACTCTAATACTAAAGAATGCACTCAAGTTTTCTGTGATACAATCCAGCCTCTTTTGGAGGTAATTAAAATTTTAAAAAATGGTCCGGTTAAAAATGCAAAAGCTCCATGTGGGGTGATAAAATTACATCTATTTTGGCATCCATGCTGCATGCTCCTTTAGGACTGGAGATCTAGCTACATAAGCAGATGCATGAGAATGCTTTCAATTTTTCACCACTGATTTATTGGGTAGGAAGTGGTGTCTCTAATTCAAAATTTCCCTCTAGTACAGATTGATATTCAAAAATCTCCCACTGTTCATTAGTCTGTGATTAATATTTACGAGGCTCTCAACTTTCATGCCTGCTTAGTATAATAAAATCCTGCACAGTACTAGGCCTAACATAGTTTGTCTAATATTTGTCAGAATATGTATGGGAAGTTCCAGACTGTAAGAAATGAGAGTTAAACTTTCTCTTGGAATCACTTCTTTTACTAGGAAATTAATAAAACTAGGAAAGTGTGCCCTCCCAGCACGGCATTGTGTGGACTTTTTGTAGGAGTAGGTGAGGAGAATTAGGGCCCCATTTTTCTTTCCCAAATTATTTTTTTCTCAAGTGTAATCAATCTACTTCATTATAAAGGTTTTTAAAGAGTTCAACTTTAATTACTGCTTTTTTTTACTTTAAGGTGAGGTCCTGAACTGACTCATACAAGAGAACTTATTTTGGATGACGTAAAGCTTTTCAGTCTCATGATCCAGTTTTTCAAGGTAATAGATAGGTCACTTTACGTAAAGTTCTCAACTGCCACGAGTTTCAATGTCTTCATTAGCAGAAAGAGGATAAAAGCACTACCTTGCTTTGAGGATAAAAGTGAAATGTATGTTTCTTACTAGGCAAACAGTACATCCTCAAAAAATAGAACTTGCTTATGCTTTATACTGCAATTAACCTCATTTTCCCATTATCAGTCTAATAGGATATTTCCTATGGGACAGCAGATTAGTATAATTCATAAATGGGAAAATAAACAAATTATCAATTTTTCTGTATAGCCAGTAGTCCCAGTTTTTAAAGATTTTTTTTAAAAATTTGTTTTGAAGTGGGGGGAAGAGAGAGGGAGTGGGGAAGGGGAAAGAGGGGGAGAGAGAGATCTCATAAACTGTAAGATCATGACCTGAGCTGAAATCAAGAGTCAGACACTTAACTGACTGAGCCACCCAAGCACCCCGTCTTCTCCGTTTTTAAAATAAGCATGTCATGTTACTCATATGTGGCAAGAGTTTTCTACTGTGAATACAGCATATATCACACTGAAATTCACATTTCTTTTCTTGTTCTCACTTGTGCCAACAGGATCTATGGCTGGTACACACCTCACCCAATCATCTAGTCTCTCACATTGTTAGGAACAAAGGCATTCTAGCTCACTTCTTTGCTTGGAGGTGCTGCTTCAGTTCTCAGTGAGGGCCTGGAGCATTGAGCCATGGTGTGCTGGGTGATTTTGATGTCTGCATAGATGATGGGATTTGAAACAGATACCTGTCTGACACAAGAAGTTTCACTAAAAGTAAAGAAAATTTTGTGGCCAATTTTAGGACACGGATGTCTAAAGACACAGAGAACTGTAGTCAGAGTTTATGCAAGAGCCTTGCAAGGGAGGTTATTCCGAAGAGAGGGGGAAAGAACAAATAGTTAAAGGAAAACATGGTTGAAATACCATGAAGCCTAATAAAGAGCCACTTAGAGACTTTCACAGCGCACAAGACCAGGCTGCATTTTTTGCATTTGAGTAATGTTTGATTTCCCCAAATGTCTCACTCAGTTCCCAAATGAGTCTGATCACACAGGATCTCACAGATCAATTTTCCAATTATTGTCACCCCCACATCTACCATGTTATTCTGCCCCTATTCTGCTTTCTAAGATACTACTGAAGGAATTTCATAATCGCAGTTAATAACTTGTATTACTTTTCATGGTTGGTGCCAAGAATGTTAACAATCCAAAGCTTAGAGTGAAAGAACCTCATAAGATTTGCAGAATAACAAGTATGTTATCTCCTGAGTCTTAATAT